AGTGTGAGACACTGTATTAAAAAAAAGAGAGAGAGAGAGAGAGAAAGAAAGAGAGAGAGAGATGGAAACTATTCGAGGCAGAGGAACCAGCAAAGCTAAAAGCAGCATGGCAAATGAGAAACAAGGAGGCATGTTTGAGGAACAAGGAGGCCTGTGAGGCTGCAGTCGAGGGAGGAATGGGAGAAGTGGTGGGAAGTGGGACCAGAGAGGTAATGTGTGTGGAGGGGGAAGGCACAGACAGTAGATACCTCATGGACTATGAAACAACTTGCTGTATTTAGAGTCAGGTAGGAAGTCAGTGAAGTGTTTTCAAGTAAAATGGTTGTGATTTTAATACAAGTAATCTAGCTGAGACAGGGTGATTTGTTGTAAAAATGATTGTAATCTGGATATCTTTAAAAGTAGAGTCAATAGGATTTGCTGACAGATTTGATGTGAGGAACAGAGGTTGTGGAAATGAGAAGGGTCAATATTTGAGGCTGAGGGCTCCCTTGATTAGGTCCAGACTTAACTTGCCTCACTGGCTTTAGTCACTTGCTTTTAGCCAGTCACTTGCTTCTAGTTTATTTTAAGATTTACATAGCTAAAGGTCACATAGCTAAGCAATATATAATAAAACTTCCACCAGTTTCCTTATAGATAACATCTCTCACGTCTACATCACTGTGGTAATGACTGCTTAAGTTCTTTTTCAGGAACTAGGGTCAACTCTTGTCCAGTTCAAGCTAGCTGAAACCACTGGCCCCCAACTGGACCTGCATGAATGTCCAATGGGTGACCTTTGGATGTCACAGTGCCCAAAACTCCACCCTCAGATCATGTTAAAGACACCATTTTGTGAACATGTGTGCTATGAAGAGCCATGAAGTTTGATGATATTTGAGCAGATTACTGATTACTGATTATCTCAGGATCTTTTTTCCTACCCCAATCACATTTTCCTACACCTGGGACCACCTCACTCCTCTATCCCATAAATATCCCTAAAATTTTATTTTCAGGGAGATTGATTTGAGACCTGTCCTCCTGCTTTCTCACTTGACTGCCTCATAAATAAACTCATTCTCTGCCGCAAAACTCATCGTTTCAGTGATTGGCATACTGTGCCATGGGCAGAACAGACCTGGTTTGGAACCACATGGACTCCAAGCTTCTGGACTAAGCAAATGGAAGAACACAGTTGTCATCAACTGACAAGAGGAGCCTGCAGCTGGAGGAGGTCAGGTGTACAACAGGGTTCATTTTCTAAAGTGTTGCATTGGAGCTTCACATTAGCCATCTGTATTAGGCAGGTCAGGATATCAAAACAAAATACTACAAACTGGGTGGTGGCAAACAACAGAAATGTATTTTCTCATAGTTCTAGAGGTTGGAAGTCCAAGATCAAGATGCCCTCAGGGTTGGTTTCTGATGAGGCTTCTCTTCCAGATCGTAGCCATCTGCCTGCTTGCTGTGTCCTCATCTGGCCTCTCCTCTGTGCATGTGTGGAAAGGGAGAGAGTGGGGTAGGGAGGGAGGGAAGACAGCTAGTATTTCTCCCTCTTTTAATAAGGATTCCAAACTTATGACATTAGGCCACCACTCTTATAAACACATTTACTCATAATTATCTCCTTAAGGGCCCTATCTCCAAATATAGTCACATTGGGGGTTATGGTTTCAGTATATGAATGGGTGTAGGGCACAATTCGGTTCATAACACCATCAAATGAAGCTGTAGTATAGGTAGATATATGAATCTGAAGTTTGGCATAGAGGTGCTGGCCAGGAATATAATTCAGAGAGTCTTCAGAATATGGTTCGTATTTAGACCCATTAAACTAGATACTAACTAACATACATCTATGGGTCTATGTCACTTGATTTTTGACAAGGGTGTCAATAGAGAAAGTTCAATCCTTTCAACACGTATATCCAGTTCAACACAACTGGATCGACACCTGCTAAAGAATGAAGTTGGACCCTACATTACAGCATATACAAAAAAGTAATTCAAAATATATCAAAAGCCTAAATTAAAGAGCAAAAAATTATAAAACCCTTAGAAGTAATTATAGAAGTACATTTTCATGACCTTGGAAGTCTCACTGTTTTGTTAAATATGACATGAAAACCAAAAACAACAACAAAAAATAGATAAATTAGACTTCATCATTAGAAACTTTCGTTCATCAAAAACACATTATCAAGAGTTAAAAGACAACATATAGAATGAGACAAAATATTTGCAAATCATATATTTCATAAGGTTGTAGTATTCAGAGTATATAAAGAACACTTACAAAAAGACAAATAAACCAATCAAAAAATGGGCAAAAGACTTGATTAGAGATTTTTCCAAAGAAGACAAGTGGCCAAAAAGCACATTAAAAAATGCACAACATTATTAGCTGCTAGGGAAACACAAATCAAAACCACAGTGAGATGCCACTTTGCATTCCACTACGATGGCCATAAAGGAAAAAAAAAGATTGTAAAAAGTGGAAAATAACAAGTGCTGGTGATTATGTGGAGAAACTGAAACACAAATTGCTTGCAGAAATGTAAAGATGGTTTAGCTGCAGCAGAAAAGTTTGCTGGTTCCATAGTAAGTTGCTCATAGAATTTCCATAAGACCTAGCAATTCCACTCCCAGGTATACCCAACAGAATTAGAAACGGAGTTCAAACAAAAACTTGTAAGTGAATGTTCATAGCAGCTCTATTCACAATAGCCAAAAGGTAGAAACAACTCAAATGTTCATCAACAAACAAATCCAAACGTCTGTCAACAGATGAATAAACAAAAGGTGGTAGAGTCATAGAATAGAATATTATTCCTCTTTAAAAGAGAATGAAGTACTGAACATGTTACAACATAGATGAACCTTGAAAATATCATGTTAAATGAAAGAAACAAGACACAATAACACGTATGATATAAGTCCATTTATATGTAATATCCAAAATAGGCAAATCCATACAGACAGAATACAGATTAGTGGTTGGCAGGGCTGGGGAGAGCTGGCAAATGAAGACTGACTGCTTGATGGCTACAGGTTTTCCATTTGAGGTGATGAAAAAGTTCTGACGCTTGATAGAGGTGATGAAAAAGTTTGTGAAAGAACTTAATTCCACTGACTTGCACACTTAAAATAGTTACAATGATAAATTTATATGTTATCTGTATTTTACCAAAATAAAAATAAATTGGTAAACCTAACTTATTAAGAAAAACATTATCTCATCACTGAGGTATACACCAATAATAAAATCAATGGGTTTTTTTTTTTTTAGCAAAAGAGTCTATAGTAGCATGTATCAAAATTAACAGAATGAGCAAATATCTCAGACTATCCCCCCTACTACATGATAGAGAGACTTGATTCTTATGCTCCGTAAGCAGTTTGGCAGTATACAAACCTAAAATAATATTCTAGTCATAAAAAAGAAACAATTCCGTGTGTGCAATACAATGAAATTATAATTATCCAATAGGGAAAGAAATCTCAAAAGCTTTTTTCCCTCCACTTTTACTCCCCTGATATATACCATCACCCTCAGGCTCCCCCCTGAAGGCTCCAGGGGTTACAATCAATGTCTCAGAATTATAAGGACTTTACGTAACACTTCACCCTTTGGGGTCTGCATATAATTTCTCATTCTGGAAACACCATGAGCCATTCTCACTCCTTTGATTATCAATTTTCTTACAAAATATTTTAAGTGCTTTATTCTAGCTCAATCCCATTGTGATTTAAATACTTAATAATGTGTCCTTTAGACATGAATTTGAACAGAATCTAACACGTCTGCTACCACCGACTTAGAGATTTCCACTATTTGTGGGGCTTTAAAATCCCTTGGCTAATCTATTTTATCAGTGCCACATGCACTGAATTCATGACTGTTATCAGTCTTTTTAATAAAATATTGCCCATTTTACAACATTTCCACCCTGCATAAATGGAGATGATGTTGCTAGCTCACCATTAGTAAGTGACATTTTGGATTTTGTCATTTGTTTGTTGTTGTTTTTATGGTATTTAAGATAAACTGGGATCTCAGACTTTCTGGTAATTCCAGTTAAAACTGATGAGCACTGATCCATTTAAGTGATCTGATTTTCTCATGTGGCCTTTGATATTTTAGCAGGTTGCCTATGCTCTGGGATACAGTTTGTGACTGCCTAGTTAACTCAGACAAAATTTGAATGCAAGATGTTTCCTTAACTTTCAGTATGCTATCTTTGTCTTAATGGCACAGTGTTTGGGTTAGGGTTGCATTTTGAAAGGTAAGTTTTTAATTGTGACAATTTTGTTGAATCTCTGTGGGTAAGCAAACCTCTTCCTTTACTGAAAATACTATTTTTGTACTAAGAATCTGAATATCTTCGGTATAGCTCCAGTATGACTAAGCAGCCCTGGGGCTTTGGATAAGTTGCTAAACATTTCTAGAAGTAGATCAGATCACCACAAAGATCTCTTTTTCCTCAAAAATTCTACTAAACTATTACCTCATGAGTGATCTTGTAGTTCCTCTCTCAGCATCATTTATACATTTTCTGCATGTTATCAACTGTGAGTCAACAAAATTTGTATCTTTCCACAGATGGGACATAATACTTACACCCACGGGTCATAATGCAGTCGTCAGTTGAATCTGTTGTTTTTCAGCTCATCAGCGGTGACTCTGTATACAGTACACCCACTTTGACTGTGTCATGACTCAGTTGTACCTAACTCTCCCAATTCCAGTTCATCTTTTCTTTCTCACATTCATATGATGAAAACACTTACGTTCTGACAGGTCTCAACTACCTCCCTGATTTGTTTGTTGTTTTGAGACAGGGTCTTGCTCTGTTGCCCAGGCTGGAGTGCAGTGGCACAATCATGCCTCATTACTGCCTTGATCTCCTGGGCTGAAGCCATCCTCTGGCCTCAACCTCCCAAGTAGCTGAGACTACAGACACACACAGCCACACTTGGTCATTTTATTTTTTTGTAAAGACACTCTCTCACTATGTTGCCCAAGCTGGTCTCAAACTCCTGAGCTCAAGTGATTCCCCCCACTTCAACCTCCCAAAAGTAGTAGGAATACTAGGAGGCCCCCGGCTTGCCTCCCTGATTTGGAGGAGGTTGGAATTCTCCAGGATGCCTTCTCCCACAGTATTAATGCTTCCCTGGCCTACTATATACAGGCCAGATGATTGTCTCAGTATTCTGATACAGTAAGTCCGCACTGGGACAGCTTCCACATGTGAATTTTAACAAATGCCTGGAGTTTTCTGAGCCTTATTTCTATACATGCACAATGGAAAACCTACCTGTATTTTTAAAACTGAATGCACATGTCTGTTCATGTCTATTTTGTTTAATTGACTTCCAGTTACAGGGATAGATAAATTCTACTCTCTGGGATTTTAAGAAGGCTGACAGTTAAGTTCACAGCTGCTCTGTTCCCCAAATTTGGGTGAATCCTAACTATAATAAATTGATTCTTCTTTTTAAAATACAGGCTAGAATTAATGTTTTTGCAAAGAAGGACCCCAGAGGTCTTCAGGGACATCTGAAGCACACTGAAATTATCCAATTTCTGACTTTATGCACTGCCCCTGATAAATCGTGTTTGTTTTATTCCAACTGTACAAAAGCAGAGGATAGTCCAGACCCTTCTGCACGCCTCTGGCAGTTCCAAGAGCTCTTTCCTGACAACACTACTGAAAGTTTATGCTGAGTCCTTCCACTCTGCCTTCATATTACTCTAGTTCTACCTCTTCCACCCCACAGAACCTTTCTAGCAACCTGTTTCACGATGCACGTCCATGAATATTAAGGGACTACTGTGTATCAGACACTGGGTTAGACACTGGGGACCCAGAGGTAAACAATACAAAACTGTGGCTCCATGGAATTTATGATCTAGTGGAGTGAGACAGGTAGCAGACAAAAGAAATAAGAGTAGTTTATTTGTTGTAAGATTATTGCCTTATATAAAAATAATTCAGGAAAGAGAAAGAAGGGAATTGTAAGGGTTTTCAATATTATATAATACAGTGAGGGAGGGCCTCAGTTAGAAGGTGACTTTTCAAAAATGGCCTGAAGAAGGTGAGAAAGGGGGTGTGTGGGTGTCTTGGGGAGAAAGCACTGTAAGTATAGCAAATTGCAGCTACAAGCCTTGTACCAAGACAATGAGGGTGTTGAGCAGCAGACTGACATGATCATATGTTTTAATGTAATCCTCTGATTCCTTTTGTAGGAGTGAGGGAAAATTTCACCTTTGTCCTCTGAAGTTTCACGGAAATCAACTGACAAAAGGCAGATTCATAGGAGAAAAGACATACACATTTATTTAATCATAGTTTTACACTACAGAGGAGCCTTTAGATGAAGATCCAAAGATACAGGAAAAACTTCCCATTTTTATGCTTAGGTTCAAAGACATTTGGACAGCCATGTAGAAATATGATTGAACACGAAGGGCATGATCTAATGCTGATGGACTGAGTGAAGAAGCCCAGCAAGACCCATCTGTGAGGTTCTTTGTGGCCTCTCTGAGCAGTGTTCCTTTTTTCTTGGTAAGGAGTAAGACCTGTCTGGAATGGAGGTCTTATAATCTACAATCCAGTAAGGTAGGTCAGATAATTTATTTATGGCTGGTTTTAACATAGAAAGGTGGAGGGAAAGTTAGAGTAACATTTTTAGGTTTTATGACTGGCTTTGAATTTCTATGGCTAACCTCGGGGAAGAGCGAGCCAGGGACAAAAAGGCAGGAGAAAGAGAAACTTTTGCTTCTGAGACCTTCATGTTGGGGTTATCATTTTCTGAGCCCCAACACTTTTTTGAGAGTACTTGGAAGGGGAGCAAAGGAGAAGCAGAGAGATGAGTTAGAATATTAGATGAAAATTCAGATGATAAATGATGGCAAGATGGGCCAGTAGTAGCAGAGGTGGTGAGGAGGGATAAAAAACTGGACATATTTAATGACAGAAAAAAATTGCAGATGATTGTGGAATTTGAGAGGGCACAATTTTAATGCCTGTACAGTGGTTCATCACATGAAAGACCACTCTCTACCTGACTAACCCTTTATTGTTAAACATTTAGGTTGCATGTAGATGTTGTTAATACAATATTTCAATTTAAAAAAAAAACAGTGCTAAGAATTTTGCATAAATGTCCATTTTCTCCAGACAGTGAACACCCCCTAGTCTTTTATTATACAGTCCAAGTTGGCTGTGAGGAAGGTAATGCAGTGCCATCCACAGAGCTGGTGAGTGGCTGCTTTTGAAAACAATGGGTATAAAATTTATTTTTAACCAGTCAAGGTAGTGTGTGCCTGTATTCTCACCTACTGAGGAAGTTGAGGTGGGAGGATTGCTTGATCCCAAGAGTTTGAGGTTAGCCTGGGCAACACAGTGAGACTGTGTCTCTAAAAAAGAATAAGATAAAATGAAATAAAATTTACTTTTAATGTTTGCTAACTAATGTAATTGCTTGTCTCATGCCCGGTATGCCCTGTGCTCTTCCCACAGGTGGCCTTTTGCCCCACCCCCAGCATACAATGATGGAAATAGCCAATGTGAGTTCTCCAGAAGTCTTTGTCCTCCTGGGCTTCTCTGCACGACCCTCACTAGAAGCTGTCCTCTTCATAGTTGTCTTGGGTTTTTACGTGGTATCGATCTTGGGCAATGGCATCATCATTCTGGTCTCCCGTACGGATGTGCACCTCCACATGCCTATGTACTTCTTTCTTGCCAACCTCTCCTTCCTGGACATCAGTTTCACCACGAGCATTGTCCCACAGCTTCTGGCCAACCTCTGGGGACCACAAAAAACCATAAGCTATGGAGGGTGTGTGGTCCAGTTCTATATCTCCCATTGGCTGGGGGCAACCGAGTGTGTCCTGCTGGCCACCATGTCCTATGACCGCTACGCTGCCATCTGCAGGCCACTCCATTACATTGTCGTTATGCATCCACAGCTTTGCCTTGGGCTAGCTTTGGCCTCCTGGCTGGGAGGTCTGACCACCAGCATGGTGGGCTCCACTCTCACCATGCTCCTACCGCTGTGTGGGAACAATCGCATTGACCACTTCTTTTGTGAGATGCCCCTCATTATGCAACTGGCTTGTGTGGATATAAGCCTCAATGAGATGGAGATGTACCTGGCCAGCTTTGTCTTTGTTGTCCTCCCTCTGGGGCTCATCCTGGTCTCTTATGGCCATATTGCCCGGGCCGTGTTGAAGATCAGGTCAGCAGAAGGGCGGAGAAAGGCACTCAACACCTGTTCTTCCCACGTGGCCGTGGTGTCTCTGTTTTATGGGAGCATCATCTTAATGTATCTCCAGCCAGCCAAGAGCACCTCCCATGAGCAGGGCAAGTTCATAGCTCTCTTCTACACCGTAGTCACTCCTGCGCTGAACCCATTTATTTACACCCTGAGGAACACAGAGGTGAAGAGCGCCCTCCGACACACTGTGTTAGAGAACTGCTGTGGCTCTGCAGGCAAGCGGGCCCAAATTTAGAGACTCCAGTTCCTTCTGAGAAGGAAGATCAAGTTTACATAGAGCAAACTGACCTTGGAGGACGGGATACTTGGGACGTCGTTGGGATGTCGTTTTTCTTCCAATATTGTTTGAGCTCAAGGTAGATGGAAATCTGAAAGGAGTGTGCTCACACTATTTCCAGACCAAGAAAATACATTTATTGTTTGTTAATTATCGTAGTTTTGTTAAATTGTCATTGTTGGTTTTTGCTATATATACTCATGTTGACTGTCATCTTGTTTTGTAAATTCCTTGCGTTGTTATACAGCTGTTTCTCAGTATCCGAATCGGGTGGATTCCAGGACGCTCCGTGGATAATAAAACTTTGACGATGCTGAGAGCGTGCGGGGAGACCGGAGCCGGCCTGTTTCCCGGCGCCCCTGGAGCCCTCCCAGCCCTGGGCTCTGCGCCTGGGGTGAGCTGGTCCCAGGACAGGCCGCGGCCTCCGCCTTGCAGGCTCCGGAGCCCTCGCTGTGGCTCCCCTGCCCGGCCCAGGCCTTCAGGTTGCGGCGAACCTCTTCCTACCCCACCTCGGGGACCTGACGACAGCGGCGGCCTCCCCCAGCCTTGATCTCCCGGTCCAACCCTCCCGGCCCAGACCAACATCGCGCCGAGTTGCCGGGATTCAGCGCCTTTGGGTGACGGCGGTAAGCAGGGAGGAAGCCGTTAGGCTGTGGAGGGCGAAGAAGCCGATCCAGGGGCGCGGGGTCGGCTGCCCGTTTAGGCCACGGAGCCGGCAGGTCCACATTCTGGGCGACCTCTTTGTCGCAGTTGGGCGAGACCTACCTAGTCCTGAAGGGTCGTATTTCCAAGACATTTTCATATTCTATCCATTATGTGTGTGCATTTTATTACTTCTCTATAGAGTTGACAACGCTAAGCTTTTTTGAAATGTTTGTTCCTTCTAGATGTTCTGAAGTACCTGATATATGTTACAATTAGAGACAGTAAAATGACATATTTTGTAAATAACTTTTTGTTAAAATTCATACGAAATGTTATTTTGTGGGGGGATGGCATGGTGTTTGTGGACTAGTTCAAGGAAGGAGGGGATAAGAGAGGTGCAGAGAGCTCTAAGCCAGTGTGCTAACAGTGAGGCGAGATTCACCATTGTTTCTTATGATTGTGCATTTTCTTTTACTTATCTGTGTATACAGTGTATCTAAAGGACAAACGAGTTCTAATTTACAACACCTAGTCTTTTGAGATGTTAAAGAACTTCTGTCAATAGAGTAACCTATCAATAGAGTTCACCTCTCTCTATATATATATATTTAGTTTTTAATATAAGGAACTATGACTCTCTATATGCTCTCATGAAACTAGTCTACTTTGGTACTAGGATCTTCCAATTCACTGTATTAGTCAGGGTTTTCCAGAGAAACAGAACCAAAAATATATGTAAAAGAGAATATATACACAAATACACACACACACACACACACACACACACACAGGACAGAGAGAAAAAAACAGTGAGAGAGATCGAGAGTTAAGAAATGGGCTCACATAATTTAGGGAACTGGCAAGTCTGAAATTTTCAGGGCAAGCCAGAAGGCTGTAAATTTTGACAGCTGTTGATGTTGCAGCTTGAGTTCAAAGTCTGGAGGCAAAATTCCCTCTTTTTGGAAGCAGGTCAATCTTTTCTCTAAAGGCTTTCAACTGATCGGATGAGGCCCACTCACATTACAAAGGGTAATCTGCTTTACTAAAAGTCTGATTTAAATGTTAATCGCATCAAAACAGACAAACAAAAACAAACAAACAAAAATAAACCCTTCACAGTAACACCTAGGCTGGTGTTTGAACAAAAAATGGGCACCACAGCCCAACCAAGTTGATACATCACATTAACCATCACACCAAATCCAAACTTTCAGTGAAGTGAAGCAGAATTCTTCAATTGGATTATTATGCATCATGTACAAGACACTCCCGTGTCTTGGTTTCTGGACTCATGTATCAGGTTACAGTGGCTGCAGGTTTAGGGCATATACTGCGGCCTGTAGGAAAGTAGTCCTTATTTACACAGTATTGTTTCTCAGCTTCAATAACTAAACCTTCAGCAGGCCATTCCATCATTCAGTCAAGCCCACTGCTTCTGAATATTGAGGTATGAAGTAAGAATCATGAATTCCAAGGGCGATTCTATCGCCACACCCCTTTGGCTGTGAAATATGTTTCCTGGTTACAGATGACACTGCAGGGGATGCCATGGTGATGGTTAAGCCTTTGTTCATTATGTAAATGGTTGGGGCATGGAAGACAAAACGGTCCCCAGAATATTATTTTGTCCCTATAAAGACTAACATTGCTTACTCTATGCTCAAAAGAGTCCAAAGTAATCACTATGCTACTAGTCCAGCCAGACACCTGGAAACAGTGCCAAATTACATGCTAACCTTGGTGAGAGACATGTCATAATGCTGTGCCCATTCACAGTTTCTATCCCTGCTTCCATGTTCAATTTTTCATAGGCCCAGTGAGCAAGCCTGCTGGCAAAAGAGATTGACTGATTATCTACTAGATGAGTCATCTTATCTACCATACTATCAAGATCCATCTCTGCAGTGGATGCCCTCTCCATGGGCATTTATGTAAGACAAATATCTTCATGATCTGTGCACTTTACAAGAAATTCTTCAATGTCCTCTTCTCCAGATTTGCCTGCCATTAATTTTCCAGCCTTGTTCTTCACAAATCTCTCACCAAAAAAACCTGTTATCCAATGCTCCTAAATCAGTGCATATCCAAACTTCTGTGCCCATCTCCTTCTATAAAAAATTAACAACCAGCTAAACTGCCTGTAGTTTGACCACTGGGAAGTTTCCCTTCCTCACCATCTTTTGGCACCACCTGGAGGGATACTGTGGTATAATGCCATTTGTTTCTTTCTGTTGCTGGTGTATAATGCAGATTCATTTGTAAAGTGGCCCATACTTTTTTCCTTAATAGTTGGCTAAACATGAAATATGAATGAGATCATGCAGGATTTGTCCCTTTGTGTTTGGCTTATTTCACTTAACACAGTGTCTTCTAGGTTCATCCATGTTGTGAAGAGAGGATTTTGAATGCTCTCACTACAAAGAAATGACAAGTGTTTTAGGTAATGGATATGTTAATTACCTTGATTTGATCATTACACAAGTATACATGTATCAAAACATCATACTGTACCCCATAAGTATGAACAATTGTTATTTGTGAAAAACAAAGTAAAATGAAATTTTAAAATAATTATACAATTTTAGGGGCTTCGGGGTGGGGGAAGGGGAAGTAAAAAGCAGACAGCAGGTACTCTAGGAGTCAGAGACCCATAACATTAGTATGAGTCGGGAAGGGAGAAATCAAGTTATTGACATTTTTTACTCAGTTTAGAACCCAAAGACTGAAGAAACAGAAACAAATGGGGGAAATAATAACTTTTAAAGTATCAGATAAAATTTTTAAGAAAGTTAAATACTGCATTTCTCACTCATATGCGAAAGCTAAAAAAAAAGTTGATCCCATAGAAATAAGTAGAACAGAGGATACTTGAGGCTGGGAATGGATAGCAGTGGTGGGGGAATGAGAGGAGATTTGTTAAAGGATACAAAATTATAGCTCCACTGGAGGAGTAAGTTCTAGTGTTCTATACCACTGTGGGATGACCATAACAATAATATATTCTGTATTTTCAAACAGCTAGGAGGATATTGAATGTTCCCAGGATGAAGAAACAATAAATGTTTGAGATGATGGATATTCTAATTACACTTATCTGATCACTATACATTATGTATATCCAAACATCACTGTTTACCCCAGAAATAGGTACAATTATTATATGTCCACTAAAAGCTAAAATAAAAAATGTTCAAACATTCAAAATCTGAAGAAAAACTTCAATCTGAATACTAAAAACTTTCCCTAACCTCTTGAAAAGATTAATTAAAAATCTCTGGAGTTTGGATGCACTGTAATTTTCCTCTGCCAGTTCATGGCTTTGTTTAAGCTCAGTAGTCAAGTTTTTAGAACCTCCAGAGAAAGCAATGAGGAAGTGACAGAAGGATCCTCTGGGACCCATTACCCCCAAATATCTGTCATCTTCTTGACCTCAAGGCTGGGTGTCAACTCAGGACAGGAGTGCAGGTCCTCATCAGTTTATTTGGGGGTAACGTAGACAACACAGACCCTCCCAGAACCATGAGGACAGCACTGGCCTGACCATCCATCAGCCCCTGTTTGGCACAGAGGAGAACAATGACCATAACTCACACTTTCCTCCAACTGCCTTAAATGCTCAGGCTGATTGGTCATGTGCTCACCCAACTGCTCCCTAAATGCTTAACAGAAAATGAAGACATCCTCTCCAAAACCCAAGGAAACACACTTGAAATGTGATTTGTGCCTCAGATTGGTATCCAAGAAGAAGTGAAAGAAACACCAGGCATTCCCACACAATTTCTGGCTCTACATCCAGTAGAACTATTGGATTTTCCAACACAGCCATCTTGAAGCAGTAAATCCTGAAAGAAAGTGAAAGACCTTTCTAAATAGAGGGAAGTCCCATCTTACTTGGATTTAAATCATAGTAAATAAAGAGGAAAATGCTTACATGCCATATTGGATACGACTTGTCTTTCAATGTCAGGTCCCTTTTCAGCCTAATATGTCAGAATTTTCTAGGCTCCATCTTTTCCTTTATTCCTCTTGCAGCAACCATAGGCTTTGATGGCTTCTCACAGAAGGATACAAAACCTGGATCATCCCAAACCTGCTCTGTGAACCCTCTACTTCACGTTTGGGTTTCCTCCCATGCTGCCCACTGTGAGGGTCATGCATCACCAGAGCATGCACAGCTGAGAAATATGGAGAGTGAAGGACCCAAGCCACACTGACTATGGGGATGTAAGCCAGTGGAGACACACTTCCTGAAGTAAGATGCATTTCACAAAGCTCCCAGGTTCCCGAAGGATGGAGCACCAGTCACCCTTGGTCATGGCCAAACCCTCTTTGTCCTTGCCCTTTCCTGCTCTTTGGGATCACAGAACATGTGCACTGGACACAGCTTCTGCCTTGGAAACACCCAGACTAAGGTAATTTCTCACACACCAGTTTATCTTCCAGCTTCTGTCAGAACTTTAGGTCAAGTGTTGCGAGTCAAATACAGTAAAAAATATAAACTTTAAAAATTATACTCACCCTCAACATGGCAAGCTTCTCATGGTAAGAAAGGAATGCAAGAATTGAGAAACCAACCCAGAGAATAGCACGCTCAAGATTTCTTGGCGAATAAATTCACTTAACAGATCACAGATATTTTCTCATCTCAACACATGCTGTGCACATGTATATTTCAAACCTAATGACCACGGAATTTTCTCATTTTCATTATTACAAACAAAGCTACAATAAGTTCATGTGTATTGAAATCTTTGCAAACTTGACTAGTAGCTCAAGATAAATTTTAGAATAAAAAATTAAATGGTATTCACATGTGTAATACTCTGAAGTATATATTTGGTCTTCAATAGGTTTCCTGGCATACAACTACTAAAATCCTTAGATTCTTTAAAGTGGTACTTGTATGTTAATGAGTGGACAAATGGCTGGTAGTCCCTAGGTAGCTTCAGGATGGGAGCTCGACACTTGAAAGACCAAGGCAGAATTAGAGGATTAAGATAATCAGACCCAGCCCCCAACCTCCGTGGAGGGGAGAAGGGATGAATGTTAAGCAGATCACCAATGGCCAGTGATTTAATCAGTCATGCCTACAGAATGAAACCTCCATAAAAACCCTCAAGGACTGGGTTCAGAGGGCTTCCAGACAGCTGAACACGTGGAGATTCCTGGAAGGTGGTGAACCTGGAGAGAACATGGAAGTTCCACACCCTTTCCCTATACCTCGCCCTATGCATCTCATCATCTGTATCTCTTGCAATATCCTTTACAATAAACTGCTAAATGTAGATGCCTCCGTGAGTTCTGTGGGCTGCTCTAGCAAATTAATCAAACCCAAGAAAGGGGCTGTGGTAACCCAGACTTATTGCTGATTGACTGGTCAGATGCACAGGTAAAAAGAACTTGAGGCTTGTAATTGGTATTGGAAATGGGGAGATGTCTTCTGAGACTTAGCCGTCACCCTGCATACTGACATTATTTCCAGGTAGACAGTGTCAAAACTGAATTGAAGGACACCCAGCTGGTGTCTGCCACAGGATTGATTGATTGCTTGGTATATGGGCTTAACCTCATCACCTTTAGTCACAGAAGTATTGTGTGTTGATTGTTGAGTGAGAGAATAGAAAAAGCACTTTAGTTTTTTCCTTACAGAACATGTTGACATTATGTGGACATATTTAAATTTCCCTTCAGAGACCAAATTCATACTTTTGCCAATAATGTGTAAGAAGGCATATATTCTCACAATTTCACTGACATTTGATTTTGTCAGTAACTTTAGTTTTACTTGTAAATCTTACCTCAGTATCATTTTATTTGGCATTGATTTAATCATTAGTGATGTTTAACATCTTCTGGTATGTTTGGGGGCTATTTGCATTTCTTCAATAAATTGCTTTTTCTTAAATTTTCATTGTTTTACACTTTTGCTTACTGATTTGTAGTGGTAGTTGACATATGATTCTACACATCTTTGTCATCATATAAGTGTTGAATCATTTTTCTAGTGGGACGTTTATCCTTTTGCTATGTTTTGTTTGTTTGTTTCATTTGTGGTACAAAAGTTTTAAATGTTATATGTATTAAACTCTATCAATCATGCCTTTATGCCTTCTAGTTGTGGAACTGTTCACTATTTCATTCAAAGAAATGAATTATTATTTAAACATCATTTATGTATGTGGCCTGTACTGAAGGCTGAAGATGCAGGAATAAATAACTGATATTCCTGCTTTCATGGGATGCAAAAGTTCCGCGAAAAGAGAATACTCATCAACAAAGGAAGCAAATGAGAATGTCGGTTAAGAAGAAATATGATCAACTGCCATGCAGGGTGAGCCTGGAGAAGGTGACATGAGGTCTAGGGCTGCCATTTGAGTTCTCACCTGAAATGAAGGAAGAAGTCACACAGCATGAGTATGGAGGGCATCCCAAAGGGAGGGAGTAGCCAGTATCAAGGCTTTGGAAGACGAAGGGCTTCATGTGTTGAAAGGCTGTTGTGGCTGAAATAGAGTAAGGGAAAGAATGGCAGGAAGTGAGGTCTGAGAGATCCCTCAGGCCCAGGTAATAAATGTCTTAGAGGTCCTAGATGCATGGAATTTCATATTTTCAGACTATTTGGAAGAAGTAAAAGGTATGATAAGCCTTCATGCCTGGAGTTATGCTTAGAAATGGCCTCTGATCTTCCAGATTGTATTTATCTTCTCGTTTTATGGGTTTCTATTTTATGTTTAGGTTTTCAATTCGCTGCATCTGCAGAGAGAGAGAGAGTGTGTGTGTGTGTAAGACAGATGTTATTATTTTCCAAATGTTCAGTCAATAGTCCCAAAACAATTTATTTCACTAGTTGTGTTTTTGTTATTAGCTTCAAATTATATCTTTACCATATTCAAAATTTCATATATGTGCAAATTTGTTTCAGGAATATCAATTCTATTAATATTTATTCATTTATTTTATTTCATTTATTCACATTTGTAACACACTTTTAATAGCTGTTGATGTATAGTATATTTTGTCATGTAGTAGAACAAGGCATCAATCGTTATCTATTTTTCTAATTTAGACTTTTCATGGTTGTCACTATATTCTGCTCTACCAGGTTAAAGTCACAACTAGCTTCCTCCTAACCCAAAACAACATCTTATTGGGACTGTGGTTGGTATTGAACCACATTTTTAAGTTAACGTCTGGAAAATTTACCATGTTTGCAGGACCAAGACTTCCGTGTGGATAATGAAGCACGGGGGTGGGATCATGTCATTGAGTAAGCACTTGCTATGGGTCCTGATGCCTCACTTGAGTATGAGTCCTTGGTCAATAAACCTATCTCTCTGAACTCTGCTGTCTTTATCTGTAAAGGGTGGCAAAAACACCAGTCTTGAAGGGTTTCTGTAGAGAA